TACACAGAAGGTTTCTTACCTTCATGCATAGAATGCATGAAGGTAAAAAAACCTTGAGACTTTAGAACCACTTTAACCAGCTGATCAGGGAGGCTGGATGGCAGTTTTGCTGTCTGCAGTGAGGAGATCTGGATGCAGTCTGGAAGTGTCCATAGTCTGACTTTGACCTGCTGGGTGAGCTTCAGGGAAGCACCAATACCGATACTGGTATCAGTATCAATACCAAGTATTTTCCCAAGTACTCGTGAAAATGCTCCCCATACCTGAAAACTGGATGCAAATGGCACTGCAAAGAATAGCATGCAATTTGAACAGGATTACCATGAAATTTGAAGAGGAATGCGATTCCTGTCCAAATAGCATGCGGTTTCCCCACTGCTCCTGTGTGAACCCAGGCTTGTCATAGAAAATGCTGGGTATTTGAAATCCCCTCCTCTCAGTTCCACGGTGCTGACCAATCAGAAGCCGTTTAGCCCATACTGTCATCCCTGCAAGAAGAAGAGAGAAAGCCGAGCAGATTTCAAATCCCCAGACCTGTGAAGCGGCTTTCTCTCCTCTCCTTGCGAGGATGACCGTACAGGCTAGACAGCTCCTGATTGGTTAGCACCATGGTGGTGTTGACCAATCAAAAGCCATCTAGCCCATATTGTCATCCCTGAATTCGGAGGATAGAAAGCTGCAGGGATTTCAAATCCCCAGCCTTTTCTTCTATGCCAGCATGGGATTGGTGCAGGGAGGTTTCTCGCACCGCTCCTGTGTGAACTCAGGAGCAGTGGGGAAACCACATGCGATTTGGACAGGAGTTGCATTGTGCCAGATTTCATGCTCATATAAGAGTCTGATATGGATTTTTTCGATGGGGGGAGCGCTGCTTTTTTCTTAATATTTTGAATGGGACCTTTAAAATCTATACAAGACTGAAGAGTCACGTATAGAATAAAATGCAAATTGAGGATTCTTTTTTGCATGGGATCTCTCATTAACATTTATATATTTTTTAACCAGGCCACTTCACAGACAGATTCAGGAAATTCTCCAAACTTGATATCTAAAGGAGTTTTGCATTTTTTAATGTTTCATTTTAAGTTTCACAGTTCTCAGCTAAATAGATTTTTTTTGTTTTGGTATATGACTCCCGGGGCAGTGCCCAGCTCCCTGTGCCCATCACTTGCCTAACAGCCTAGAAAATGACCATTACTGATGTCTAAGACTTTTACTCCATCTATTTTTAATGGGGGTCGGATTTGCCATGTAAACTCAGGCAAAGTTTGCCAAACCCATCCCAAACCAAATCCAGTTATGTTCAGCTTATCACTATTCATTACTAACCAACCTTCAATATCCTTACAAATGTTGAACATTTGGAATCTCGTCAATTTATTGTATAATTAAAGATGGCTGTGCAAAAGAATAAACAATCTACTAGACCCCACTCACACTTGAGCATTTTTCAGCTTGAAGCTCGACACTCAAAAACACTCAACAAGTAAAATTCCATTATCTCCAAAGGGCCCTGTTGACACTTGAGTGTCCTGTCGCCTGTAGCAAAATGCCTGTCACTCAAAAAAGTAATTACGCTACATTTCAAGCAGATCTGAGCATTTTGTCCCCATAGACTTGAATGGAAAATGCCTGAACAATGGGAATGAGCATTTTTTCAAGTGTTTTTTCAGGCATATTCAGCTCAAACAGCAGCTATTTTTATTTCTATTGGCCACAGCAAAAACGCCTAAATTAAAAATATTTGCAAATCTGCTCAGGCTCCTAAAAAACACTTGAAGAAACATTCAGCTCAGTGTGAATGGAGCCTTAGGCAGAAGTGTAATTTTAATATGTTACAGTAACATATACAGTATCTCCCAGAAGTGAGTCCACCCCTCACATTTTTGTAAATATTTTATTGTATCTTTTCATGTGACAACACTGAAGAAATGACACTTTGCTACAATGTAAAGTAGTGAGTGTACAGCTTGTATAACAGTGTAAATTTTCTGTCCCCTCAAAATAACTCAACACACAGCCATTAATGTCTAAACCGCTGGCAACAAAACTGAGTACACCCTTAAGTGAAAATGTCCAAATTGGGCCCAATTAGCCATTTCCCTCCCCGGTGTCATGTGACTCATTAGTGTTACAAGGTCTCAGGAGTGAAAGGTGAGCAGGTGTGTTAAATTTGGTGTTATCACTCTCACTCTCTCATACTGGTCACTGGAAGTTCAACATGGCACCTCATGGCAAAGAACTCTCTGAGGGTCTGAAAAAAAGAAACGTTGCTCTACATAAAGATGGCCTAGGCTATAAGAAGATTGCCAAGACCCTAAAACTGAGCTGCAGCACGGTGGCCAAGACCATACAGCGATTTAACAGGACAGGTTCCACTCAAAACAGGCCTCTCCATGGTTGACCAAAGAAATTGAATGCACGTGCTCAGCATCAGATCCAGAGGTCATTTTTTTGGGAAATAGACACATGAGAACTGCCAGCATTGCTGCAGACGTTGAAGGGATGGAGGGTTAGCCTGTCAGTGCTCAGACCATACGCCGCACACTGCATCAAATTGGTCTGCATGGCTGTCGTCCCAGAAGGAAGCCTCTTCTAAAGATGATGCACAAGAAAGCCTGCAAACAGTTTGCTGAAGACAAGCAGACTAAGGATATGGATTACTGGAACCATGTCCTGTGGTGTGATGAGACCAAGATAACTTATTTGGTTCAGATGGTGTCAAGCGTGTGTGGCGGCACCAAGGTGAGGGGTAAAAAGACAAGTGTGTCTTGGCTACAGTCAAGCATGGTGGTGGGAATGTCATGGTCTGGGGCTGCTTGCCGGCAGTGAGGAGCTACGGTTCATTGAGGGAACCATGAATGCCAACATATACTGGGAAATATTGAAGCAGAGCATGATCTCCTCCCTTCGAAGACTGGACCGCAGAGCAGTATTCCAACATGATAACGACCCCAAACACACCTCCAAGACGACCACTGCCTTGCTAAAGAAGCTGAGGGTAAAGGTGATGGACTGCCCAAGCATGTTTCCAGACCTAAACCCTATTGAGCATCTGTAGGGCATCCTCATATGGAAGGTGGAGGAGCACAAGGTCTCTAACATCCACCAGCTCTGTGATGTTGTCATGCTGGAGTGAAAGAGGACTCCAGTAGCAACCTGTGAAGCTCTGGTGAACGCCATACCCAAGAGGGTTAAGGCAGTGCTGGAAAATAATGGTGGCCACGCAAAATATTGACACTTTGGACATTTTTACTTAGGGGTGTACTCACTTTTGTGTCAGCGGTTTAGACATTAATGGCTGTGTGTTGAGTTATTTCGAGGGGACAGCACATTTACATTGTTATACAAGCTGTACACTCACTACTTTACATTGTAGCAAAGTGTCATTTCTTCAGTATTGTCACATGAAAAGATAGAATAAAATATTTACAAAAATGTGAGGGGTGTACTCACTTCTGTGAGATACTGTATGTAAAACAAATGTGGGTGAGGAGTCTACATACTTTACACAATATTGAGTAAGAAAGTGTACGGTGTGTAATTGGGAATGATTATTACATATGGGTGTATATCTCATAATTCCATATTAACATATAAATGCTTTGAATGTAAACATGTTTTGTATAGTCACAGCTCATCTAAACAGAGTCAGCAATGACTAAGCAATCCAGTGTCACAGGCTGTGGAACATTTTCTAAAATTACATGACATTTTAAGGATGTGTGGTCTGGGTGTTATTTTGCAGTTTTCAGGAATATCTGATAAACCACTACTTATGGAAGGGCGAATAAAAGAATAAATATCCATTTAGAATAAATTAGCCAGAAGTCAGTTCTTTCTTTTATAAAACATAAATAATCACAAAATGAAGCTGAAAATGCACCATAGTTTACACAGGCATCCAAAGTCATAGCATCAGTAAATTACCAAAGAATAATACTTCAGAAAAACAAGGGATTATACACAAAGTCATGCAAATTATTTCTTTCAAATAGTCTGTGGGCCATGGAAATACATGATAAACCACTGTACTAAGCTACTGTACGTTCATGAGTAAGAGAATGCTCCTTCTTTCCTACCTGTGGCATTGCTGCTTGGATTATGTATGATCTCTGTCCATCCCCAGACACACCAGTCAAAGATACATAAAAAAACTAGTACAGTACTTTAATTACTTTTCATTTAAATCTTCCATACAGTATTGTACAGCATGTATAACATTGTGACATACATTCAATAGTTAGCTTGGGTTCACATATATGCGATGCGGTATATCACATTTGATTTGCATAGGAACCGCACCACATTCCTGTGCAAATCACATGCAATTTTTTTTGTGTGGTGCGATTGGAGCTGTACATTTTTTATGGCTCTAATCGCACCGCACCCGCACCAAAAAGGTGCAGGACCCTTTTTTGTGTCTGCACTAAAATCGGATTACATGGGTATTCACACCTATGCGATCCGATTCTGCATATTGCAACGCGTTTTGCAGACCACTTTCGGGGTGTTTTAACTTAACATATACACCCGCAGCGGTTTGCATGAATGGGGTGCGATTCTGAAAAATAATGCAAATTCCGCACCGCATCAGTGTGAACCAGGGCTCAGTCAGCTCATGCAGATGCTAATGTGAGTTTTATATAAGGACACAATGATCCTTGTAACCTTATATTTAGTGGTCCTATCCTGCTCTTTTACATCCTTGTGTCTTTATGCTGCCTGTACAGATTGAACCTGATGTTCCTATGTCCTTCCCCCCGGCCTTCAGTGGGGCACCTCATGTTCTACCACACCAATGTGGGCACATATTTTGTATATATATAAAAAATATTTGATGTATTAATGGATATTATACATGTTATTTATAAAAATGTACTATGTGTATATTTTTATATATTCAAGGCATGCAGACTGCTTCTACAAACATTTGTGAAAAAATGGGTCACTCTCAGGAGCTCAGGGAGTTCAAGCGTGGTACCGTGATAGCATGCCACCTGTGCAAATAAGTCCATCCATGAAATTTCCTTGCTACTAAATTTTCCACGGTCAACTATTAGTGGTATTATAACAAAGTGGAAGCAACTGGGGAACAGCAGCAACTCAGCCACAAAGTGGCAGGCCATGTAAAATGACAGAGCATGGTCAGCGCATGCTGAAGCGCACAGTACACAAACATCGCCAATTGTCTGCAGAGTCATTGGCTAAAGACCTCCAAACTTTGTGTGGCCTTCAGATTAGCACAACAACAGTGCATAGAGATCTTCATGAAATGGGTCTCCATGGCCGAGCAGCTGCATCCAAGCCTTACATCACTAAGGGCTCGTTCACACTTGGCTGTTTTACCAACGCTTGCCAAACGCCCATATAGCGTTTTGGCAAGCGTTGGTCCGGTTGTATATATAATTATTATTATTTTTATTATACAGTATTTATAAAGCGCCAATAGTTCGCTCAGCGCTGTACATTACAGAGGGGGACAGAACATGTGACAGAACAATACCAATACAATGCAAAACATGAGGGGATTGAGGGCCCTGCTCTTTTGAGCTTACAATCTAGGAGGGAGGGGATGGTGGCACAGGAGGAGATAGCTGTGGGGGATGGAGTGGTAGGAAGAGTGGAGGAGGTTGGCAAGTTAGCAGGGGGTGGGGTAGGCTTCCCTGAAGAGATGGGTTTTTAGGGTGCGCCTAAAGGAGAGGAGAGTAGGTGATAATCTGATGGGTTGGGGCAGGGAGTTCCAGAAGATGGGTGACACCCTGGAGAAGTCCTGGAGGCGGGCATGGGAGGAGGAGACCAGGGAACTAGAGAGGTCTTGTGAGGAGCGGAGTGTGCGTGCTGGGGCGGTACTTGGATATTAGGTCAGTGATGTAGTTCGGGGCAGTATGGTGGACGGCTTTGTATGTCAGTGTTAGGATTTTGAATTTGATCCATTGCGCAATTGGAAGCCAGTGGAGGGATTGGCAGAGGGGGGTGGCGGAAACGGAGCGGTTGGAAAGGTGAATGAGTCTGGCAGCCGTATTCAGGATCAACTGAAGCGGGGATAGCCAGCGGTGAGGCAGGCCAGTGAGGAAGGAGTTGCAGTAGTTGAGTCGTGATATGATGAGAGAGTGGATGAGCTGTTTAGTGGTTTCTGGAGTTAGGAACGTGCGGATTTTGGCGATGTTGCGGAGGTGGAGTCTGCACGAGTTTGTTAAAGATTGGACTTGGGGCTGGAAGGATAGGTTGGAGTCCAGAATGACACCAAGTACTCTGGCCTGCGGGGCGGGTTTGATGGTAGCGTTATTGAATGTGATAGAGAAGTCAATGGGGGGTGGTGTCCGGGCTGGGGGGGAGGCAAGAAACTCGATTTTGGAGAGGTTCAGTTTAAGGAAGTGGAGCGACATCCAGTCTGATATATCGCTCAGTAGGTGTGTGATTCGGGCGGAGACCGAGGGGGTGAGGTGGGGGGTTGAGAGATAGATTTGTGTGTCGTCGGCATAGAGGTGGTAGTTGAAGCCGTGAGAGTGTATGAGTTGGCCAAGGGAGGAGGTGTAGATGGAGAAGAGAAGGGGCCCGAGGACAGAGCCTTGAGGGACCCCAACAGAGAGGGGGAGTGAGAGGGAGGTGGTAGCATTATAGTTAACGCTGAAAGAGCGTTGTGACAGGTAGGATGAGAGCCAGGAGAGAGCAGAATCTCTGAGGCTGAGGGAGTGTAGCTTTTTGAGGAGGAGGGGGTGGTCGACTGTGTCGAAGGCCGCAGAGAGGTCAAGGAGTAGGAGCACTGAATAGTGGCCATTAGCTTTGGCGGTTAGCAGGTCGTTGGAGAGTTTGAGTAAGGCAGTTTCGGTGGAGTGTAGGGGACGGAAGCCAGACTGTAGGGGATCGAGGAGGTTGTTGTCGTTGAGGTGAGAGCATAGGCGGGTGTAGACTAGGCGCTCGAGGAGTTTAGATGTAAATGGGAGCAGGGAGATGGGTCTGAGGTTGTTCGGGTCATTGGGGTCCAGGGAGGGCTTTTTAAGTATGGGGGTGATGTGTGCATGTTTCAGAGGGGAGGGGAAAGTGCCGGAGGAGAGGGAGAGATTGAAGATGTGGGTGAGGGAGCGTAGGATGGAGGGGGAGGGAGGTCGTAGGAGTTGTGAGGGGATAGGGTCGAGGGGGCAGGTGGTGAGGAGGGCATCAGAGAGGATCTTGGAGACTTCCTTGATGGTAGTAAGGTTAAAGGTGCGGAGTGTTGGGGTAGCTTGAGTATGAGGAATGTAGGGTGGGGTGGAAGAGGAGGTCAGAGCAGTGGTGGGGCCGTGGGAGAGGGGTGATGAGGGGGTAGCTGAGTGAGGGGGAAGGGGGTTTGAGGGAGTTTGAGCAGACCTGCGGGTTATGTCGAGGGGGGGGGGGGGATGAGGGGGTAGCTGTGTGAGAGGGGACAGGTTGAGAGGGCGTGTGAGTTGTGGCAATGTCCTTGCGAATTGTGTCAATCTTGTTTTTGAATTGATTGGCAATCTCAAGGGCAGTGAGTGAGGTGCTGGGTGGAGGTGGGGGGTGGCAAGAGTAGAGAGTTGAAGGTGGAGAAGAGTCGGCGAGGATTGGAGGAGAGGGTCTTGATGAGGGTCAGGAAGTAGGCTTGTTTGGCAGCATGGAGGGAGGAGGTGTAGGTGTGGAAGGCAGATTTGTAGCGGGTGAAGGCTTGTTGGGATTTGGTTTTGCGCCATAGTCGCTCCAGGGCATGACTGTGTCATTTGAGGGTTTTGGTGTGATCAGTCTGCCAGGGCTGGAGCGGTCGGGGTCTGATGTGTTGCGTGTGGTTAAAGGCGCTAGTGAGTCAAGGGCTGTTGAGAGCGCGTTGTTGAAGGCAGTCATAGCCAAGTCGGGGCAGGACAGGGGGAGGATGCTGTCGTGGAGTTGATCAGCTGCAGAGTGGAGGGAGGCAGGGTTAAGCTTGCGAGGTTACGGCTGGTAGTAGTGTGACATTTGGAGGGGTAGGGCGTTGGAGGACGAGGAGATAGAGAAGGTGATCAGGTTGTGGTCAGAGAGAGGGAAGGGGGTGTTAGTGAGGTTGTGAGGAGCGCAGCGGTTGGAGAAGACAAGATCAAGGATATTACCGTCAGAGTGGGTGGTGGATTGTATGCACTGTGCAAGTGCAAAGGAGGAGGTTAAGTGGAGGAGACGGGCTGTGTCCGGGTTGTTGAGGTTGACAGGGATGTTGAAATCCCCAAGGATGATGGTGGGTAGCTCAGAGGAGAGGAAGAAGGGTAGCCAGGAGGAGAAGTCATCCAGGAAGCGGGGTATGGATCCAGGAGGCCGGTATATCACAGCAATCTTCAGGGGGGTTGGGGAGAATAGTCGGACGCAGTGGGCCTCGAAGGAGGAGAAGGATAGGGAGGGGGGGTTTGGAAAAGACTCGGAAGGTGCTCTGCGGTGACAGGAGCAGACCAACCCCACCACCTTTACGACCGTTGGGCTTTAGTTGGTGAGTGGGTCCAGGTGAGACCTCCGTAGGAGAGTGCAGCAGGGGGGAGGTAGAGTCAGTAGGCTGGATCCAGGGTTCCGTAATCGCCAGGAGGTTGAGGGAGCGGGAAACAATGCAAAGCGGGAGTCAATGCATTTTTCTGGTTAAGAGTGGAGGTAGGAGATAGATGCAGTTACCCAGAGAAGAAGAACAGCAGAAGTCAATGCGTTTTTCTGGTTAAGAGCGGAGGTAGGAGATAGATGCAGTTACCCAGAGAAGAAGAACAGCAGAAGTCAATGCGATCAATATAATGATCACCTGCCAACACACTGGGTTTTGAAGAAGCTAGAATTGGCAAAACGCATTGACCCTTGTCTGGAGGCCTACAGATTATACAATTTGCTGCATTTGTTATATGTATATGGAGTTCATATATTAGACTTCCGGTCATGTTGGTAGGGTGCCGTTTAGGTTTCCAGCAAACCTGTTGGCACCTTTCAGGGGCATTTTTTATGCTTGTATTTTATCCTGAATTTTAATGTATATAACAAACTGTATTTTGTTTTATATATTGTGTGGTCTCCCAATTGAGCCTATAAAGTCCAGTCTTCCTATGCTGGGTTCTTTTTTGTGCACCCATTTTTTTCTTTTTTTTTGAGCTTCAGGCATTTTGGAGAGTGGAGATGTGAACCACTATCAATGAGATGCATTTTTTTTCTCCTTGAGCATTTGGAGCTTCAAGCTTCGCTCAGCAAAATGCTAAGGTGTCAATGGGGTCTAATAATCACACAAACAACAAATACACTGATACTCATGTAAAAGTAAGCCAGAGATGCACACATTTAAGCTATTTACAGCTTTACACATCAGACATAATGCTCATGCTGTAAAAGAAGGCCAAAGGTCAATGAATGCCATCTGGCGGCCCTCCAAATCCTCCTTAGTTTTAGTGGTCTGCTCATGGTGGGCTAAAGCTTATTTTACTGAGAGATTTCTGCAACATTCGGAGGAGACCTTGTTTGAAATCTGTGTCTCACAGTGCACATAATAATTACTTGTATACTTAACCCACTACATTGTGCGTTCACAGCTAGAGAAGATCAACAGTTTTGAAGTTAAAGTATTATTGTTCTAGAAATCAAATACATTTCATACAGGATCTTCCGTCAACGAAAGGGTCAGTCAAAAAACAGATATTTCAGTAGATGATTGATGGTTAAAGCACATGACAAATTCTTTCATCTCTCTTGGATATTATTCCTCATACACACAGGGCGTTTTTGCTGTCACTTTTAGGGGCTTCAGGCATTTTTTTTTTTTTTACTGCTTGTTATCCTATGTCCTTGTACTGCATGTTATCCATATTATGTGTCCATGCACACAGACGTTTTGGAGCTTTTAGTGGCAGGAGCGTTTGCAGGCAGGATAAAAAAACCTAAGGTCAGTGCGTCCAGGAGCAGCAGTGTTTTAGCAGAAGAAGCGCATGACACGTGTAAACACATCTAAACACGTGTTAACGCTAGACGCGTTTAGTGCTTGAATGTTAATTTCAACAGCCAGAACAGATTATTATTCTAGCCACTCAAATGAATTAACGCCCAAGCACTCGATGCTTGTAAACGTTCCTAAACAGTTGTAAAAGCATTAGATACTTTTACAAGCGTCTTTTCTGCAAAAATGCTGCTGCCAGAAGGAAGGCTTCTAGGAGAGGTTTTTTCTAACGTCCTATGTGGATGAGACCTAATTGGTGAGATCTCAGTGCTGAAGTTCTTGGTTCTG